TTCCTAATGAGCCAAACCCAACGATGTTATCCCAGTCTCTTTCTCATGATCCCTAGCAACCAAACTAAGGAAGCCATCTCCTCGCCAAGCCAGCGCTACTAGTGAAAACCAGTATGTACCCAAGCCTTAGTAAGATAGGGTTTGCATACATAGACTAGGTGTCCTCTTGCTATAAACCACCGTCTTTGCTGTAGTCGTAAGATCTGTGCTCAAAGGGCGTTTGTGATGACTTGTGCCGGCTCGTTTCAACCCTGTCGAACCCTCCCTGTATCGCGGGTGTTTTTGCACATGTCACATGTTTGTTTTGGGGCGGAAAGGGCGCGAGGGGTTACTGGAGCTGGTGAAGGTGTTGTTCGAGGCTCGGCCCCGGGTTACGGCGTTTACGGCGTGGCGTTTTTACTTTTGAGATGTTGAGACAGTGAGGTGACATGGTGACGGCGAAGGGGTTGTAAATACCACAAACAAACTTCTTTTTTCGTTCCTTTCCGACTCTTATGTACAGTCTTCATCCTAGTCCTGCATAGGCCTAACCGGATGTCCACCATCGACAATCATGACCTCCTCAATCTTCTTGTCGACGTCCTCGCCGTACTCGACTCGCTTCCACGTGTTGATGCGGCCCTCATTCATATCAAAGTCAAAGACGCGGATCTTGCGATGGAATCCTCCGTAGCCGGCATAACCGCCGAAACCGGCGGCGCCGGCGTAGCACATCCAGAGGGCGGGCTTGCCGTCTTCTTTGAAGTCTACGGCGCAGTATTCGTTAACGTGGTCGCTGTGGGGAGGGGGGGAATGTTAGCGTGCTTCTGGATTTCTCGATTTGAAAGGAGGAAAAAAAAAAAAAAAAAAAAAAAAAAAAAAAAAAAAAAAAGCTTAACGGAGAGACTCACTGTCCACAGGACACCATCACAACTCCCTCCTCCACCAACGCATCGTGAAAGCCAGAGTTAAACGTTGGCGCCGTAGTCGGCTCCTTCCACGACGTCACCAGCGTCAAATTCCTTCCATTCTGGTACTCCGGCAAGGGGATATGGATGAACGCGACATCCATGTGCACGTGCGTGTACTCGCGGTGCTTCTTCTTGAGTCCCTGCGCCGTCTGCCGGAACCACTCAATCTGGTTGGGCTTGATCCAGTCGTAGCCCGGGTACTTGCGCTCGTTGGGCGAGTAGGCGTGCGTATCAAGCAGGTATACCGTCAGCGCCGAGTGGCTAGACGAGCCGCGCCCCAGCACCTCGATGAAGTAATTACCAACACCGTCGATGCTCTCGGGCCCAGCGCGAGACAGGGAATAGGGCAAGGTCTCGATCAGGTCCATCTGGGCGGCCCGCGACATGGAGCCTTCATCGTCGTGGTTACCGAAGATGGAGACGTACGGGATCTTGTGCTTGATGAGGATTTGGGCGTACTTGAAGATGGCCTAGAAAGAATGAGTATTAGCCGCGGGCGTTTTCCAGATATCAGGATACGACGAAATCCCTTACCGTCTGCGTGTCAGGCGCAGTCTCGCCATTGACCTGATCCCCGCTCAACACCACCAAATCCGGCTTCTCCTCCTCCAAAATCTTCGTCACAAAGTCCAGCGTCCTGGGATCCGCCTCGCACTTCTGCCCCTCCGGCAGCGCATCACGACACGCTCCCACGCCCGTGCTCAAGTGCAGGTCCGCCAACTGTACAATCTTGAACTTGCCATTATCCCGAATCCTCAACACCGGCTTCACAGGCGGGTGTTCCACTCCCCTCCGTACCGTCAGATGGGCAGAGGGCACGCTGCGCCCAACATCCAGCAACAACGGCGTGCCCGTCATGCTCCACGCCTCCCTAGCTTCCACCGCATCGTCGCCAAACAGCACGTCGATCCCGGTCACCGCATTCTTGGAATCACTTGCCCCTCTCTTAGCCGATCGCTTCACCCACAGGCCCGCCGGCCTGGACTCCCACTTCTCATTCTTGATATCCAGGCCCTTGGCTGCGGCCTTTTCCGCGTCGGCCACGCTAGGGTCCAATCGGCCGACGGTCACGTCCACGACCACTTTATCGCCCTCCTTTAGCTCCTCCTCGCGCTTGCGGCTCACGTGGAGGTAGCCATGGGAGAAGAGGGTCTTGCCGAGGTGGAGATCCTTGTCGATGCGGTGCCAGACCGAGGTGTCGAGGTCGCAGCTGGAAAAGGGGTTGTAGCTGGTGCAGGTGGTGACGGTGATGTCGGTGATGACGAGGCCGGCGTGGTGGGTGGGCAGGTATTCGTGGATGGCGTTGGGGAGGACGCGGAAGTTGCGGTCGAGGAAGAAGATGAGGAGGAAGGTGATGACGGCGGCGGTGGAGATTTGGATGATGTTGCGGACCTGGTTTAGGGAAAAAGGGTTAGTTAGCCTGGTTGGTTTGGTGATGTTATAGACAGCTTCCGTCACAACCTTCTTCGTAGCTACGGCTACAACATTTGCAAAGAGAGTCGAGAGAAATGGAAGTAGAGATGACCTACAATTCGTCGCGTCATCTTGAATAAGACTTTTGTTTTATGTATTTGTGGCCTCTCTAGACCTGCTGGAGTTGCTCTTCTAGCAGCAACCGTCTACTACCTCGTTCGCTGTCGAGTGTGTGCAAGGGTTTCGGCGTCCCGGCTACAACGACTACTGCTACTGAACGAAAGGAGGTGGCCCTGCTGCGGCTCTATGCCCATCTTAGAGCATGTCGGAACGGTCGGTCTGTCGAACCACTCGTCGAAGTTGGAGATATCCCTTGCCAGGGCTTGGTGTAAAGTTGAGAAGCTAGCTATCCCAGTATGTTAATCTCGATTCGCGAAGGATGTGTGCGTCCGTGTGCGTGGGGCTGTCGACTGTCCGGTACGTAGGCGGTACTCGAGTTTCGATGTTGGTGATGGGCGGTGCTGACAGGATCGACGGGACTCGTTCGGTAAGTTTAGGGAGTCGGATGCAGCACGGGAAGCCCGTCAAGTTGTATATATCCAAAATAAAGTCAAGTTGGTTCGCCAGAGACCAGGTCGCCACTGACACTGCGACTGAGCGAAGCGATGAGGTAGTAGTGTATGTAGCAAAAGTCTCCCTCCCAAGGGAACTGGGAAAGTCAGCTTCTTCGGGCGCCCCCCATTGATCGGGCATTTGGTCAAGATGCCTGCCCGCGGCCGCTGCAAGAAGTGGAATCCGGGGAAATTTAGCCAACAAGGTTCACCCACGTCGGCAGGGTCGGCCGAGCCCCGCCAAGGGACCTCGCACGGAGGCCTGAACGAGATCAACTCAACGGCCATTGTTAGAGCATGCACTAGATTCAGGTGCAATTACTAACAGCAGCGACCTAAAGAAATGTTCTCGAATCTCGAGTGAAACCTTCCCCTATCGCGGAGCCCCCGTTGCCCATTCTGCGATGCTTCTTTTTACACTAGAGGTACAAAGGATACGGAAACCTTGGTGAATTGATGTCCATGCAAACCTACTTTTACCAAAAGAATTAAGATGCATATGCGCAACCATGCGTGCTCGAGGTATCGCAATGCATATGTGATGCCAGTTGATAAGAAACGAGTGTTTGGGGCGGCATTGCCTCTGCCCTTCCTTTGGGTGTAAGATTTATAGAGTAGGTAGCCCGTATACAGGGTCCGCACACCAACTAGCACACATAAACGAATATATTTGCTGGCCTTCGTGTACGGCCTATTCGCCCTCGGACAGTAGGACCAGCCCTACCGCGCGCGAGAGCGAACATATGAATAGAGGTAGTATCACCTCGCGGTATAGTGAATACCTAGTAGTGTAAGTGGATGTGGATGTGTAGATGTGTGGAAAAGGATGGTAAGGCGGCGTATTCGCGAGAACAATGTAAGATTTCTGGCGGTTTTACCGGTGCACGGGACGGATTACGGGCTTATCAGAGTGTACCAGAGGTAACAGAGGCGGAAATTCAACTGTTGGGTCTATCATAGTAGAGGTACTGATCTTATATCGGCACGAAAGGCAATCCGGGCGCTAACAGATAGGTACCTGTACATAGTGCGTAGAGGTATGTGGCTTTCTACACTACAAGACTCGCCCGTAAAAAGTACCAACACCCTAACCGGAGTTCTTCTGGGGTAACCTAGCTGCTATCCATAGGGCGTCTGTAACTTACAGTGAGGTGTCAGACACCCCCCTTTTTCTTTGGAGCTGGGTAGAAAGGGGGCTCGGGGACTTGGCGAGAACCAACAAAGCTGATTTCATCAAAAGCTTCACTTTATCAAGTTGACTGAATCCGACATCCCACTCGTGGTTGTTGTCATTACTAGACGTCCGATCCGGGAGTTACTGTATCCAATATATTCCCATTTCATTGTCAACATCTCACGATGCCTTTCTGCCTGCCTCCCTACTTCGCTACCTATGTAAACATATGCCCCTTCCTCCTCTGACATACAAAATACTATGGTACGGGTATAAACTGATGATCCTTTCCACACTCCATCTCATCTTCATCTTCTATTCTGTCTCATCTCCTCCTTCTCATACAACAGGTATCATGCTTTAAACTCGACAACAAAAAGTGACAAAACTCCAAAATCAAACGCTGCCTTTTAACGCCAGTTTGCTTGCCAGTCAGTGATGACAGATCCCAGAATCTTTCCTGATCTCTCTCTTGCCTTTTTTTCCTGTCCGTCGTCATGAAACCCGCACATTACGTCGTTACAAGAAAAAAAAAGTGAAACAAACTAGAGGGAAAAGAAAAAAGAAGGGAAAAAAGGAACGACGTGCCTGCGCCATATCATCAAATACCAGTCAATGGCTTTTCACCCTCCCCCTTTCATCACCATTATATCCCAACTACCCAAACAGCTTGATAAGAAAGTAGCCGTCAAGGCGACCTCTCTGAAAACCAGGAAAACGTTCCATCCATTCGTACCAGTCGACTGAGGAGATGCAAGAGAAAATAAGGAAAACGGAAGTGGAGTCAAAGTTATTGTCCTGTATGCCAACAGCTTTGGAACCCCCCCCCCCCCCCCCCCTCCTCCCCCAGAAAGAAAATGTAATATGTGTCGTGATATGCCGGCTGAACAACTTCTTTCGTCGTGTATGATGCAGTATTGTTGCACAGCTGGGCTCGCGCCCTCTTTCATCTTTTCTGTCTTTTCAATCTTCTCCTTCTATCATGAGTATCGAGTAATGAAAGACATGCCGGGTAGGAGCGTAAGTGAGGTGGGGAGAATGACAAAGAAAATCAGATGCTTGCAAGGCGAGGTCTCCCATCAGGAGCTCGGGCGTGGCAGACCATGAGCTTGAGACTCGTGCCCCATTCCTCACACTCGGCGAGGAGTGCTTTGTCTTTCCACATGCTTCCGATGGTTCCTGGGCCAATGTCGGTACTAGCAGCGCTCTCATAGCACTGGCTGTACCACCATTGTCCCACCTTCGCCACCATCTTGGTGATGCTTTCATCTGCTACAGGGCTTCCGTCGCTGATCATCTCGGGAAGGCTGCGTTCATCCTTCATAGACTTGCTCTTGGTAGCGGCCTTGCTTCTTTTACCGTTCTCGCTTGCAGGCGTTCGTGGAATGACACTAACGACCGGGACGCCAACACGGCAAGTCTTGAGATCGGCAAAGCCCTTTCTGCCAAGTAGTCGGAGGATGAGATCCGAGGTCGACCCAAGACTGACATCAGGGGATTTGGCATGGATGCGTTCCTTCAGGCGGCGGACAGCCTTACGCCCGTGGTTGCCCATATTGTTCAGATCGACATCCAGGATCGAAAGCTCAATGTAGCCGCCAGGCTTGAGGACACGCCGAGCCTCTGAGATGATATTCCGATAATGTGCCTCGGGGGCCGCAACCGGGAAGCGAAATACTACAGCCGTAAAACTCTCTGCGCCGAAAGGAAACTTGCCAGTGTGTGACATGTACTGTGCCTGGTAGTGGTTCGGAGGACTGAGGGGGAGACCAGTTGAGCCATTGCGAGCAGCTGGACGAGGCGGACGAGGCGAAAGGTTGAAGAACGTTGCTGCTGGATACGTCTCGGCTGCATAGAAAGACCAGTCGTCGTTGCCAAGACCGTCAATAACGAGGATGGAAGGACGCTTCAGCGAGCCTACGTCGTTGAGCAGCTCATCTCGGACCGGACTGAAGAGCACATGCCCAAAGGTAAGCCACTTGCTGACCGTCATGGACCCGACGCGTAGATTAACCAAGGCAAGCGGCGAGCCATCCTCCGAACTTTGACTGCAACGACTCGAGTCGGATCGACGTGAATCATCAACAGGAAGGCTGTTGGTTTGCTTTTCAGTCTCAACCTCTTTTTCTAGTTCCGACTGCTTGCTCACAGCCTCACCCTGCCGCTGCATCTCTGACTCTCTGGACACGTCAGGTTCCAACGAGCATCTCGGGCTGGGATGATCGGCCAGGAGTTGCTTCACCTTCTCAGCCATATCGGAACTATAGACGCTAGAACTGACGGGTATCCTTTGCGAGTGCATAATTTGGGTAAGACTTTGTACCTGTTGTTCTTGGAATTGAGAGCGAAGAGTTGGGGATTCCAGGGGTGGTTCGATGCGTCGAGTTGGGGTCGCCGTATACTTCTCCAAGTGAAATTGGTTCCCGAAAGACGATCGTGTGGATGGGGGCTGCCTCAACCTTTCGTCCCCAAACAAGTCATCATACTCGTCCCAAATCTCGTCCTCGGCCAATGGTGCATCAGGCTCGGGAATGATTGCAGTAGCCTCGGCAAAGTTGAATCCTCCGGAGCTGCTAGAAGTTGTGGTATTGGTGGTGCACAGGGAACCCTTCCTCGGTGAAAATGAGAGAAACTCTTGTCTAATTTCGCTGGGGTAAGTTGGAAGCATCGATCCCGAATTTCGAGTTAGCGTCGGGGTCTCCATTTCAGCGGTTGTCGCTGGCTCCACACGGACAGGCGTCGATGGCCTGGGCGGACTAGGTCCCTTGGCTATGGAATATGCATCTCGAAGGTCCATCTTAGACGGCGTGACTTGAGCACTAAGTCTGTGGAACGGCCGAGAGAAACTCTTGGGTGATATTTGTTCAGCACGAGCACTGACGACTTTTGGGATCCGACCGACCTGAGCAAGTCGGCTCGGGCGGCCCTGTACAGGACTGGTGGTGATTCCGGCCTGCGTTGCAACGGATGAAGGCATCGACGAAGGCGTTGGAAGCTTAGAAAACTTAACCGGTGACATGTGTTCGAACTCGACGACCGATGGAACCTGGGCGCTGGCTTCTGAAGTTAAAAAGCTTGAATGCGCATTCTCTTGCGTCACGGAAGGTCGGCGCTCCTCCGCTTCCTTGTTCTGCAAGTCATGGATTTGCTTGTGAGTTGGAGAATCCGGGCTCTTCGCTTCGCGAAGAACTTCCTCCAAGTCCGGGATATCGGTATCTTCCTGCTCAGATGAGTCCATCATAGTATAGAATGCTAGCGGCTTGTTTTGGACGACCTTGACTGTAGCCGCCACAGCAGCCACCGGAGTTGCATTCTCTGGGATGTCCACCTTCTTCGTCTCCGGAGCAGGTTGACTGTGATTTCTTCCAAAGAAGTTCCATTTTCGCGGAGAACGAGCTCGCTTCATCAGACGCTTGGGTCCAGAAAGGTTCTTGGGCCCTTCTGATGCCTTGATGCCCTGGGCGGCGTCGATCGATGGGGCCAGCATGGAGTCGTCCGTCACGAGGACACTGGCATCAATACTAGTAATCGAGGGAGACGTAACATGGGGTTGAGTGACGATAGGAGCCGGAATCCTCGGGGGTTCCTTCTCTCCAGACTTCAACCTTTGTATAGATCTCCGCAAAGCCAACGTCGATTTGAGGACTGGGGCCTCAGACTCACTACTTTCAGAGGGTCTGCAGCTGCTGATAGACGAGCTCTGGGCATGTTGACCAGCGCGAGGGAATGCAGACGGCCATAGTGTGTTCCGAGGGATAGAGTTAAGAGAGACTTGCGAGCCGTTCTGCGGTTCCACGCTGGGTCGTTCGCGCGCGATACTTTGGCTGCTTTCCGTCCGGCTCATTTCCGAACCAACATTCCTGTTTTCAATGATTTCGCCGCCTGCAATAACGACAGGTGCCATCCTTTCCAACAAGAAGGAATCGTTAGTCCCGATGCTCTCTTGCGAGCTCATCGTCCCAGGGATCGCTAGGCCGGTGTTTGCAAGACTGTTACTCCTACGGCGCGCTGGCCCGACGCGCCCATAGCCTTCGTGGCCAGTTCCCGCGGCAGGACCCTTCCTGGGCGGCTTTTTCTCATCCTTCTGTTGAGGGACCTCTTGGGTTGTCCTTGTCCGTCGTCCGAAAAGGGGGAAGCGTCTTAAGGTCGATACACCAGGACTTGGCGTACGAGTAGTCCTTCCTGATTCGGCCTTGATGGTAGTTGCATCTTCCCCCATCCTGGACATTTTTGGGGCAGGTGTTGCCTCTCTGGTTATGGATGGTTTTAGGAGATGAATGTGCGTGTCGGAAGTTGATGAGAGCAAGCCAGGCCTGGCGATGGTTGTTGGTGCCAGAAGTCGGCTTGATCTCTTTTCAGATGGCGCAGATGTCAAGTTACTCTGAATAACGGGCACGGGCAGACCTAGTTGAGAGTGAAGGTCCGGAGTTCCATCTCTGCTCGGGCGGCGAGGAGGCTGCCCTCTAGGCGGCGCAGCCTGCTGGCCAGCTTGGGCGGGACGGGGTCGAGAGAAAGAGGCTGGCTTTGGTAAAAGTTGCGCTGCTGCTGCCGCCGCTGGTGCCGTTGGCTGGGTCGGTGGCGCACGCCAGGGCCTCGGTGCGGATAAACTCCCATCGTGGCTTTTCGTAAACTTGTGTGACGAAATACGTAGTGGTGGGCTAGGCGCAAGGGGTGATAACTGCTTCTTCTTCTTGGAATCCTTCCTTTCAAGCTCACGGACTGTCGAGTTGGATGACGACGAGGTCAAGGATTCCCTGACTGATGGTAAACCCTGAGGGTCAGCGCTGACAAGATCCAACTCATTCGATATGCTTCCTCCTCTTCTTCTGCTGACAGGCGGTCTTGTTTGGATCGAGTCAACCTGTCTCATCCTGACGCCAGCTCCGGGGAATCGTAAAGGCGCCATCATACCAGGGGACTGAGAGGACATGGACGTAGGCGTGGTGTCTCGACTATACGGACCAGGTCCTGGTGACTCGGAGAATCTTGTACATGGACTACTGCTGAAGCCACTCATCTGACTGCTAGATCCGGAGAACAAGGGCGTAGGGGGAGGGAGATCGTGAGTTGTTAGCAGGTACGGCACCTCAATGCTGAGGCTTCCATTGCAGGCTGGCGCTTTGACGTCGCGATATCTGTCCAGCTCTGGGTATAATGTTGGTGCTTGCGGCGCGCCTGCCGCAACTTCGACTTGGTGAGCTGCTTGGATTTCCATCGTGTTCATTGTTGGGTTGAGTTCGGAGCGCGAACTGGCTGAGGAGTCGATTGAGGTCTGAGACCGGGGGTTGGAAGACGATGAGGACGACCTTGTTTTGGCATGGTTTCCAGTCTCGTCTCGGGAGCCTTTGCGGATGCTGTTCACTACTTCTTGTGATAGCCCTGAGTTCTTCCTCCTCAGCACATTTCGAGGTTTCATGGTCGGCGCGGGTAGTCGGCTGGATGCTGCTGATGTAATCAACGTGGTGTTGCCCAAAGCCTTTGAATTTTTGATTCCAGCTGTAACCCGAGGCTGAATGGGTTCCGGTTGGGTATCGGAGGGTCGCCGTTGCGGCAAAGATTGCGGTAGCCTACTAGGCATCTTGGGCTGTGGTAGTGTCCTGGCACGTTCGGTGCTTGGCTCTCCTCCTCTCTTCTTCAACAATAAGGAACCGGGTGGCGCTATAGTACCGGGATTTTTGGGCCTGCTATCAGCTGGCAAGCCTGAAAGACTAAGTCCTGGTCTTTCGGAAGCCATTGTGATCCTATATCCCACGGAGGAAGGCCGGCTAATTTGACCATACTAAGACTCTTGCTCCGTGGTCCACGACATGAATGCTGTGCAGGAGTAACACAACCAAAGTCTACCGCGCTGGGAGTATGTGTTCAGGGACGGGAGGCTGTGACCGGCGCAGCGGGAGAAGCCTAGTCGTATGGCGGAACACCGGTGCTCGATCCTGCCCGTGGCAATTAAATGTTGATCCCGTATCAGTATTTCACCGGGAGCTAAGGTACCCGACAATTCTTGAACAGCAGCGAGTGGATTAAGCAATGTCCATGATGACCGAAAGCACAGACGGACGGAAGAATTTGGAAGAAAGAGGCTGAGAAAAAGAAATGATGGTTCAGTAGTCCCTGGATGGATGCTCTACTACTAGTTAGTCTTTCGATTCGTGGGAACCATGGGCCCCGCATCGGGGCTGGTGTGTAAGTGGTTGAGTATGGGTGAAATGTGATGGTGGGCCACGAATATCTTCTTGGGGCCAGGGGGGGGTTCAGGTGTTTTTGTTCGTGTATGTGTAGTAGTGGTATTGGGAAGCGATGCAAGACGGGATGGAGGGTGTATGGTTGGTGGGGGTTAGGTGAAGTTGAAGAGATGGAGGGTATCACAGCACATAGTGATGTGTAGTAATGTGGGAAAAATACGGATACGCATCAGGGAAGGCGTCGTCGGATGTAGCATCTATAAAACAGAACAGAAAAGAAAGGAAACATCGTGTGAGCCCAGGCAGACGGAACAGATACACTTACCTAGTTTGGAGAACTTGTCGGAACTGGATAGTAGTCTCAATTCAGTTACAACGTGGAAGCCCTGTGGTACAGTCAAGCTGGTTTGAAGTGGTAGAGGTAGTAATGAGGGAGTGTGACGGCAGCCAAGCGGGAGAGGTACTACCTCGAGAAAAGAAAAGGGAAGAGAGGGTGAGATGACAAGGTAGTGGGAAGATTCATTTAGTTGGGTAGTGAAGGCAAGACAAGAGCTCATGAGGTAGAGGTAGGTAGTGAGGTACTGTAGAGTGGCAGTAGTGTAAGGTATGTACCTAAAGTCGAGATATCAATAGCGCGGCAAAAAGAGCCCATGTTCCCGACTTGCCGCGTAGAGTAAGGATCTGCCGCCAATGAGATGGACAAGGTCGGCGACAATGTGCTTGGGAAATGTCGACCATGTTCATCCAAAGTACACCCGACCATGCGGACATGTATGGGTGGAAGGGTACAAGGACCAGGGTTGGTACAATGGCCAGTCCATCGGTGGGAACAGTTAACTTAGAACCTCAATGGGCCATAGTCTGGAGGGCCTCATTCGTGGTGTAATTCCACTCATACAGGGCAGTAATTCCATCATGGCAGAGACGGATGCTAGTGCCGATGTAGGCAGCCCCGTGTTGCTATCTTTTGACACTCGGGGTGGCGTAGACAGGATAAAGTGTTGTCAAGTCAACAACAACAACAACACCTGACTCTTGACCATCTTCAGCATGAGCGACGTGACGAGACGGTGAAAGACGTCGGCTGGAAAGTGCTTACAAAAACTGACATGATGCGTTGTGCACATGGCATTTGACGATCTTTCGACGACAACCTGGAAGATGCCCGAAGAAAAGAGGGAGGGAACCTGAGTGAAGAGTCATCCTTGAAAGTTGGGAATCAGAAGAGGGGCGAAGACGCGGTGGAGAGCCGTGGCGTGTCCAATCTGCGTCCAAGTTGGCGACCTCTTGTGGCTTGAGAAGAGGAAAGAAGAAGCTGCCCGTCAAAAGGCAAAAGCGTCGTTGCTGTTGGTTGGGCTGGCTGCATGGTGTCAATAGCATTTAGTCCACCTGCAGCGGGAAGAGTGGAGAATGAATACATGGAGCGTCAAATCTGTCGCTGTGTCTTTCCTTCCTTGTTGGCTTGTCTGCCCTGCCTGTCCCTACACTATAGGCTGTACTGCGGTGTTGTACCTGACGCTACAGAAAAGTTGGGTAGGTACCAACTGAATCAACACCGACCTCGGTTGCATCACGCGAACATGAATTGAACTTTCACAATGTCGAATGCAAAGAGTGCGTGTCCTTGAGCGGCTGTGCCGCCTCATGCTCAAAACGACAACCAAAGACAGGCAAAGACAGCCCTGGAATATGCATGTGGAGTTGCCCTATGAGCACCTAGAAGACAATGTCAAGTGTGCCATTGGGCGCGAGTTAACAAACGGGATTTTGTTCGATGCTACCCCCTCCCCTCTCCTCAATCTCTGGTCGCATTCGATCCTCTTATTCCTTTGCTGTGTAGTACTATGTAGACCCTTCCTGGACATCCCCAGAGCCTCCATTCGAAGCCTGGAGATCGCTGCTACTTACCTTGTCAGAAGAAATTTGCGTGATGGTGATGAGCCCCCGCGCCCCCCTTGGCCGACCATCTAGGCCGACTGGGGATATGAAGAGCAGTGACCCCGGCCCGTTTATCTGGCCATCTGCACTCTCCAACTGTCCAGCTATCTCATAGCCATGGATGTCCCTGGCTTTCGGTATCAGAATAGACAAGTCAATCGGCTCAAAGCGGCACGGGAATTTGATGGACGGCAAGGTTCCATGAATGGTTATCGCGGGGTTCTTGCGCCCTCATCTCAGGGTCATCTACAAACCACGAGTTCAGGGGTTCGCGAGAACACCATGTCTTAGTGTGATATCTTCGTCATATACCCACTCAGAGCTAAGGAAAAGTTGGAATCTCTGACGTCCTCAACCCCATCAAGTTCTCTCACACGCCGAGCCAGCCATCGGGAATGAGAAAACTAGTGTCTCCGTGTTGGGCTCAACTAGGTATGTTTTTCGACCTTTGATCCGATCACAAGAACCCCTGAGGCCGTCAAGGATTTCGAGCAAAATGTCATCAACAAACACCCTACGCTCTTCAAGATGACAGGATCCATGTCGTTGATCCCCCGGAGGCGCTAGATGAACTCGCCGGCAAAAGAAAGGAAACGAGGGGGGGACGGGTCCTGTCCGAGGTATAATTTCAGGTATAATGGTGGCGCCATTACTATCTCCCCAATACGGAGACCATGGCACAGATAACACAAAATCTCCCACCCCGCGGTCCATCGTCAATGTATCGCCCATCTCGTCATCCGTCTACCTACATCCCGTCCAGCTCCAGGTCCCCAGTCTGGTCTGCGCACATCGCACAACGCCCGTAGCGACCTGTGTGTCGTGTCAATCAAGTGTCAATCGTGTCCGTGCAAGACGGGATAGAGAGATTGAAGGACACCACAAGCGAGCCGATTATCCCCTCGCACCGAGTGAGTCCTCCTTGTACGCAAAGGGTAGCAGACTCGCGGCGTGTCCCAAATCTAACCTGCGGCGTTCGCTCCCGTGGAACCGGTCTGTCGAGGCTCATTCATTCGTCATCGCTACAAGTCATTTGTCGTGACGAGCAAAGCACGACGGACGGGTTGCTGATCCATCAGTTCATTGCAAGCAAGCGTCCGTCCGTAAGCTATCGGGGCCATGTCATCCACGTTGTTCTGGGGAAGCACGACATTCTTTAGTCAGGGGTGGATGGATCACTGATGGGCACCACTGGGGCATTCGACCATTGAAGACATCGTGTGGTTGCCCTGCTGTGTCTCACTGGAACAGACTTCGCTCCTTGTTTAAAGACACAGGAATGATAGCTCACCGGTAGGTACATGAACCCCAGCATTTCGGAAGCCAATGGATTTTGCAAGTCGGGGATTTGTTCGCCTGCCGTAAACCGCCCAGTGGGCATCGTCGAAAAAGCCATCGTTTCGACAGCCGCCCAAATCCACGCTACCATTCGTCGATCCGTCCCTTGTTCAATGTCCTGATGCGGCGCACAAGGTCAGTCTCATTGGACGGAAAATGAGAAGGAATTGTAGCCAATCACTGTGGCTTGCTGCCAGTGGGTGTCGCGAAGTTTTGGAGGAGTTGGAGCATTTGGAGGGGTCTTCATTTTCCAATCACAGTGACCAAACACCCTTCTGGACTTCACGCCTACTGAAAAGGGTAGGTCAGGCCGGATCTTCTGTGATCTTGCTGACCTTAAATCTCAGGAGCACGGAGTGTTCCCTATATGGCCTGTTGCAGAAATTCCGGTGCGGATGTTGGAGAAAACCGAACTTCACATGATAAAAGTAGGATTTTTTATTATTTTTTCTTTCACCCATCACATCACAACAGAGCGAACTACATACACGGGGTGTGGGTTCACGATCGTACACTACATACGGTACCTTACTTGAGGCCAACGGTTGTGCATCAGCAACCACAAGGGGGTATCATGAGGAACTTTGAATTTACATGGTCAGTTATCTACTGTGCATACTTGTAGGATGGTGGACCAAGCAAGCTGAATTCTGCATACCAACGTCCTTCAATCTTTCAAGAAACAAGTTGGACATCCAATCCCTCATTGACAAGTTTGTCGATGATCAGAGAAATGTTCGAATTCGATGCCACTGCTACGAGGTGAGCCTCCATCGCCCAGGGGGCATCGGTTGTCTTCGCCGGAAAGTCTCCACCAAAAACCAACGCCAGCGACCTAACCTAGAGGTACGTAATAACACCAATCATCCAGTTCGTATCGCATGCGCTGCAGGGCTTCCTTCGATTGAGAAAAAAAAAAAAAGGAAAGAAAAAGAAAAGGAAAAAAAAAATTGTATTGGGTCTGATCTATGCTGTCGGCTTTTGGGCGGCCACTGGGCCTCGGTTCCAGATACGCCTCGTTCCGAATCCTTCTCAAGAAAATCGAACCCGAACTGCTGGAGACACTGCACTGTGGCTGCGTGCCCCCCTACACTAGGCCCTGGCCGGCCGGCCGGGTCCACGGGTGTGGCGAGTAAACTCAAAAAAAAGCGAAGAAACGAAGTGACTGGACCAACCAACTTCTCGCGTTAATGCTTCGCCATACTCAAAATACCATTGTGGTAGGTTTTGCGAGGGAAAGTGAGGCTGGTGACGTGGCACTTTTCAGTTGCGATGGCTACTACAAAACCGCATCAACCGCTTAGGCTGCCTCCTCCCTTCTAGACCAAAATTTGCCCCGAGTTTTGTACAACTCATCAACTCTTCAGCTTTGCTTGCCCACAACATCACACGAGTTACAAGGGCGATGATGATGGAGTCCTCCGCCTTGTTGAATTTCGAGCCAATGTCTTTCTCTGCTGGAATCCACCTCGAAAGCTGGAAAAATCGAAAGAATTGCAACGAACGAACGAACCATGGATGGCATCACGCGCTATTAGTGTCAATCCCGTGAAAGCACCGTGAGGCGTAGAGGTACCACCAAAAGACCCCCGTCGTATCTACGCCAAGGTAGAAGCTAGGTACCCAAAAGCTCGCCGCAACAGGGGCTCTTGCAGATTTTATTGGCCACCGACAACGTCTTAGACAACCACCGAACAAGTCGAATAGTTGAACACCAAGCGCCCTGGATAGGATCTGGTGAACATGTGCACATATTGTCCTGTTTCGGAGAGAGTCCTCTTCTGTCTACTGGTAGAGCTTCTCAATCCTCTGGAGGGTCTCGGATGGTCCAGTATTTGGTAACGTGATCATCAAGTGGTGTGAAGTTTTTTGAGTCGTCGTTTTTGCGGCTCTGAGTGGGTACAAGGTGTAGATAGACGACATATTGTTGCGTGGGTTGCTGCCTTGTTGCTGGATTACCTATACGTCATTCGGGGATTACTGAAAAATGAAATTAAGACCTGTTCTTGGTGGCCATTGTGTTTCCTAAACCCGAGGGAAAAAAAAAAAAAAAAAAAAAAAAAAAAGGGAGAGAAAGAGAAGTCTTGCCTAGTAACTACACTACACTACAACGTATGCCTATGTCTGAGTTATCCGATGGAGGTCACAATCAGCAAGTCGTGGGATGACCGGAGAGTTGCCAGAACAATCACTCCTCCCTTTTCCTTCTTCCATCATCAGCTCTTCGCCAAGCTAGCTGAGCATCCATCACGTTTAGACTGCCTTCCCAACATTCCACGCTTACCTTGCCTTTCTTTGATCGGTACCTATGTAGTGTTATAAGAATACTTTTTTTTCTTTTTTTTCTGTCTCCTCTTGATGACTTGGCGACCCCTATCTTCAATTATCCATTCCCACTCTTTCTATGCCATACCACACCATGCCTGCCTACTAATTCAGCTTGATCGAATGGGGATGAGGATATGACTCGATGAGTCGATCGTTCTCCCCCCATTTAAGGATTTCCGTTATCGTCACCATACTAGTGTACCTAACCCACCCACCCACGAGCACCTGGCCATATCGAGCGTACAGTGTACATACACACACTAGAGAAGGCAAAGAATTATATTCCCATGTACCTTGTTTTCCCGTGTCCCGTCCCGCCATCTGCCTGGGGCGTAGGGCGCTTCCCCAGCTCCAAGCTAGCCAGGCAAGCCAGGTTAGCCTTGCTCGAAAGCTCCAAAGCTAGCAAGACAAAGACCAAGATCTTGGGGTAGGTAGAGGAATGTGGCTGCCTGGTATAGAACACATTCTGCGCTCTTGATCAAGCTAGAAAGCATGACTGGGTTGTGCCACCTACACTATGTACATTTCTTCCTGACCAGTGACGAAGTTCATCTTCGCAAATAGCTTTGGATGCCACTCCCGCCTCGAGAATAACACGCCGAAGTTGGTTTGAGCCGTGTTTTTACTTCGCCGCCATTACTATTAGTAAGTCCCAGAGAAATAGCTTCTGCTGGGTGGATCCGCGTGGTTCCATAAAAGAGTGTCCCCTTCTTCCTTCAATGCGGCCCTTCCAAATTCCCGGCATCAAAATGCAGTATGTAGCTATTTCTCAAATCACTCCACCTCTGATAACAAGTCATATCTGACTTTGACTAAAAATTCGCACTCATCCTTTTCTTCTTCAACACTGGGCGTTTACTCAGCCTATAAGCGTCACGAGGATCTAAATACCCCCTCCTTTTTTTTTCCCCTCCCCCTCGAATCCTTCATCCTTCGACTTTCTACACCGGCAGTTTATGACACGTTGAATGGCTTGCTTTACCTACTAGTGTAGTGTAGTCCCTATCACTAGCCGTTATAAAGCCTCCTCTCCGACCCCGCTTGTAAATGACTAGATGACTAAACGATAGACCAGTCAAAGCGAGTAAATGCGTGCAGGACTGATGGAGGAAGACAGCTAAGCGCCTTGCTTGCGTCAGCCCATCGGTCTATCAGCCAGCCAGCCAGCCAAGCCAGACCCGGACGTCTCTTGTTCACTCACTGGCTTATGCAATACTGACTGCCTACCTAGCTGGACTGTGCGGCGTTTTAGGTGAGTGAGTGGAAAAGGGAAATGTGCTCTCCCCAGAAATGAGGGAAAAGGGACATGACATGGAACTCCGGGTACTGTTGGCGACTGGTCCTCGTTGAACCAGTCATGGAAGTCAGCGCCGGCGGTTGGATGGCATGAGGTTGAGCAACATTGCTCAAGAGGGTATGTAGTATCTGGTTAGTGAAGGTAGAGCGTTAATGTGGGATACCCTTCCTCCAATGACGGAAGTGGCTGTCTCGTGTGAGCATCTTTCTTGCTACCTGAATATATGTATCATGCTAAATTGTTGTGTGTGGACGGTTGAAACGAAAATCAGATATGTAAACAAGTTTCCAGTATGTGCATTTCGTGCAAAGCGTCTGTCTGTTTCAGACCCAAGCAAAATTATTCTGTTCTGTTGTTCCTCCTCGCGGAAGCTCGTGCTCTCCCTTCCTTGCTCTCGTCATGTCCTGTAAACCATGATCTTGGGAAATCCGTGCTTTCTATCGTCTATAGATCCCTCTGCGTATTTGTACAAATACATGACCGCAAGGTATGCAAAATGCGGTCACATATCGAAAGTCGGAGGACAAATTAAGAAATAGATGATGGGTAGTTAGGTCGGTACTGTGTATCCCGCAGCAGCTTGACTGCTTCTTACTGTTACTTGAGGAAGCGATCGAAGCCCTCAAAATCCTGGAAAAAATCGTCTTCCGTCTTGGCTTTTGAGCTTTTCCAAACGCTTGAGCTTTGCGCATCTGGGACTAGATTGGCGTCTGCTTCCTCTTGTTGCTGTCGATGTTGATGTTTAAGTTTTGTGGCGAACGGTGGCCTACCGCCGGGGCCATACTTCACCCACAGCTTGCTCCCCACCGCATATTCGCGTTTGTGAGGTATAAACAGTTCTGGTTGGGACTGTTTCAGCTTGAGCTTCCACTCCTTCATTGAGTGATGAACCAACTCGGGCAAACGTTCCAGGACGTAGGAACCCCAGGCATAATTACACAACCTGATGGCTTCTTTGAGCGAAAGCGTCTCCCTCACTTTCGGGGTAACATAGTGATGCCCGTGTTTCGGGGGCCGGTGAAAGCGCTTGATCTCGCCTGAAACCAAAAGAACGGTGAGAGCCGGGACAATGACCGAGCGCGCCCAAGAGTCATCGGCCCGCACTCCCTTCTCCTTGAGCATTGCTACGAGCTTGATGCCTCGGGCGAAGAAGAAGTGTTCTGGCTTCGAAAATTCTGTTGCATCCCGAGGCATGCCGCGGGAACTGCGAAAACCCCAGCGGATGATTGACCCCAGGAGCTCCCTACCAAAAACCAAATGCAGTGGATGGTAGGGACTCGTTGTGCTCATTCCGGATGGAAGGCTCAGAAACCTTTCTGACTTGGGCAATTGCTGAGCGACTGCGTCGGGTAGATCGAGCTTGTGAACTCGGAAAAAGCCCCCCTCGGGTCCCAGATTACCCTCATAGAAACTAACAATGTCCAATGCAAGATCGTCGCGCTCGTCATGCAGTCCTTCGCGTCCGAGTCTGAAAAGAATGATCTGAGAAGCCTTGGACGCGAGAGGATATCCGAATCGTAGAAGCCGTCTATACATGGTGGCATAGGAGGAAATGTCCACGCCATCTTTCGCAGGCCGTGGTACTATTTCTTCGCATACATGTTTTGATATGGCATCGGCCGTAGAGTGCATCATTTCGATATTTCCATCGGCCATAATGTCCAAGAAGCCAACCATATGTGAAGCGCTGTTGGCTTTCAAGCAGACCAACAATGCTTCGTTCGTTGACTCTTTCAGAATCTGCCTTGTGTTGAGATGGCTAGCTTCCACAAGGAGCCGACAGAGCATAAAGTCTCCCTCCGCAGCAGCGAAACTCAGGAATGAAGGGTGCTTGGCGAAGTTGTCGAATTCTTCCGGATGCATGGTTGTATTAACAAGACCCTCAAACAGTTCCTCGTCGCCAACTGTAGCAAAGTGCTGTAGTGTTTTCGAATAGCTCGAGTTACCAATTCCGATTCCAGACTCTTGCAGCTGTGCAATTTGATGAAGGAGTCGGCCAGGGGAGGGTTCGCGCCGGGCTATAGACTGTAACGAGAGTGGCCCGATTTCAGAAAAGCCGAGAGTCGAGATTGTGCCAATGATGGTTTCGATGGAGAAGTCGAGGGTCGCAAACCATCTAGCGCCCAAGCTGTCATTATCTGTTTGTTCTTTGATGCCGAACACATTACCCAGACCTTTGGAGATTTGGTAGTTGAAGTTGATACCAACTTGCGACTTGTCGTCCCTTAACAGGCTGTTCAGGTCTGCACTACTTGGAAGCGCAGCTTTACTCGGCGGTATAAGGAAGGAATGTTCTTTGTCGGTCAACTGGATTTTCGGATGAAAGCCGACCAAGAACTGTAAGAATGGCCGCGAAGCTTCGGTTGTTGGCAAGTCGTTGTGAGAAATAAACAGCCGACGCCAATCACGGGCAATGCCTTCCTCTCCTTGAGCGAAGAGGTAAGGAATCATCTCGTCGTAGAGGTTTTGGCGGACACTCGTCATGTAAAGTGCTTGTAGGATTTCTCGAACCTTTGCGTCTGAATTAGTGATGAACTGCTTCAGCACTTGGGTAAGGGGTTCTGAGTCGGAGCAAAACGACGAGCTTAGGCGTAAGTGCCAAAGCAGCGTTGACTGTGTATCCTGTTGTGCTATGAAGAAAGATACAACACCTGCGTAGAGGTTTGGCCAAAGGACTCCGCGGTCACTGTGGAGCCACTCAGCATAGGACCAAGCACTGTGCAGTGTTGCTTGATCGTGAACGGCCACGTCTAGTATTGCTTGCCAGAATTTCTCGGCAGTTGAGCCCTCCACTTCCGTCAAGGTTCGCCGTTTTTGCAGGCCCTCGAGCACTGCTGCGACTCCGGCATCTCCTTCGGTGCGTTGGCGGTGCTCAAGTATGCACGACCAAAGGGTGATGTCGTTCGCATACTGTGGCCAGTCAACCAGTCGCGGCTTTCCATCCTCGGGCGAATCTGCAAGGACATCACACTGGAAGCGCAAGTCTTCCTCGGTGGCCGTCAAAATATCCCAATCGTCACGGTTGAAGGGCTGGTTGGCGATGCGGGATGACCGAAAGCCCGACCATGCTGACAGGTCGTATGTGGTAGACGCTTGGCCTGGTAGCGCCTGCACTGCCGAGCCCCGAGCCTTCTGTGTATTCCGAACACCGTGGTCCTCTTCCGCCCCCAAAGTCTCCGAAAGTGCGTATGCCGTCAACGACCTCGACCAGCGCGCGCTCGTTGAAAAGTTGACGCATGATGGTAGTCCAGATACCTGTAAGTGCGCAGCGTCCGTGTATAAGTGCGATATGGTGGAGCGGCGCGAGCGAGCTACATGTCGCAGCACAGGAGGCACGGCTCGCATAATGGAATTGTGGCCGCTCGACACAGAGAATTGGGCATATGAGCGGCGGGGACTCTTCTTAGCGGCTGTCTGATGCGATCATGTCCATTTCTTTTTTCGCTTCGAGGTTGCCGCTGGGTTATTTGGCGTCGTTGTTCGTATCGATCGTATAGATCGCGAGGTACCTGGGGCTTCGTTGACTGACTCGAGTTCTGGGGTATCGCGGGCGGTCCCACGGATGGGGTTGTGAGGGGATGTGGAAACTCCTCGGGCTGGAAGCTTTGACGTTCTGGAGTGGAGGAGACACAAAAGTGGAGGGGACCTTGCAGGTGTGGCCGGGGATCGCTCCCTAACTTGCTTCTTAGTCATCCTACGATCATGTGTTTAAATCCCTCCATCCCTCCCGGCAGGCAGTGAGTCTGCTGAGCTGCTCAGTCTGAAGGTCAAAGTCGAGGCATCAGCAGCAGCTGAAAGCTGTGAGCACTGACCAAACCTTACACCTGGCAGGCAGGCAGGCAGAGCTTCCGCCGTCGGGTCTGCAGTCTCCACCATCCACAAGTCCGTGCACCACAGGAAGCCCCGAGCCGAGAAACCTGAAGCAGTGAGAGGTTCAAAGCTAACTCTCCGTCCTTTCCACGCATTCGACATCATCACACCAACCCCTCGCATCACCCCCCCGGAATCTTCCACCCAACGACCCCCGACAACAATTTCAAGATGCCGTAAGCTTCTCCCCTTCGGCTCCGAGCTCCTCGACGATCCGACGACCCTCCAGCGACTGCGCGCATTGCGGACGCCGCCCCAAGTCCAATTACCTGTCGTCATGACGCACTATTGTCCGTCGTACGATTTCGGAATCCCAGGCTAACAGCTCTCTTTCTTCCCCGACTGCAGCGGCCTCGTCAACGCTCCCAACCACGTCCCCGAGAAGCAGCGCTACTACCAGCAGGCCTTCAAGAACCACACCCGCCTCTGGAAGATTGTGAGTTGAATTCGACACTTGAGGATGGTTGGGGAATCAACAGATGGGAAATAGGAGAGGGAGATACGGAGAGGGAGGTTTTGTCGGGATAAGGGCTGATGAGAAAATTGCGAACAGGGCCCTCGCAGCGGCATCATCATGACCACCTTCAACATTGCCATGTGGGGTACCTTCGGCGGTGCGTATACCTTCCTTGATAGCTTATCGCTTCGTCCTTGCTCCTTCCGCTAACTGTACATCAGCTTCCATGTACGCCATGACCCGCAAGGTTCTCGGCTACAACACCTGGTTCTCGGAGGATTAAATTAGCCGTCCTACCACGATAGTCAACGAAGGCGGTGCTACTGGTCATGATAGAAGCACGAGAATCCCTTTGAATATGTGTATAGTCGCAAAGAGCAGCATAGATGGCGGCAGAGGGAAGGCCGCTTTGGGTGATACCTCCAAGAAGTAGGCCGCCACGCCGATATTCCCTATTTGCATCATGGATTCCACCGACCACCTTTGGGAGAGCTACTGTAACCGTGGAAATCGTGATCCATTGGGTCTCGGCGCTTCGATTACCAAGCTCCAAATACTGATGGCTGCAGTTGTCAAGTCTTTTCTATCATTACAAAATTATGGCTTTTTTGGCCATGGGGCAGTAGTGGCCATGGAGGTGTGAAACCTGTAAATAGTGGTAACCAGGCGTTCCCTTTGTCATGGGGGCAGGTCAAGTAAGCGCTTTAAATTCCCGAGGCACCGGGGGCCTTTTCGTCCTTCTTTAGGCTTATCAGGAGCTCACGGAAACGCTCCTTGCCGGAACCAGCAGCACCGCCCTTAGCTCCCTTGCCGCTAACGTCAACCAGCTTGGCAATGCGCTCCCAGCTCGTGCCTCCCGATGTGGTGTCCTCGCGGCTGGCAAGGAACTCCTCGGCCTCCTTGCGGGTCTGCCCAATGGCCTTCTCCTTCTTGTTGTTGTAGTTCTCGTAGAATTCGTCAATGTTCTTCTGCGCCTCCGCGATGGTCTCGGCTCTCTGGGCGGCGAACTGCTCCGCCCGCTTGGCAAGCTTCGCATCACGCTTCTCGCGCCACTCTCTAATCACCTCGGGCTCTTGCTCCTCCTGGGCGTATGGCGCATATCCAGAGTTGTAGGTGACGGAAGGACCGGCGCCAGTGATGGTACCGCCTGGCGCAACAGACTAAAGTGAAGATGCCCCATGTTAGAACCCAAGACCATGCTTACGTGCTGTGTCGACAGCTTTGGTATCATCATTGTTTAGTCGTACCTCGTTGCCTGCGGAAAGGTCGGGGAACTGGCTCTCGAAAGCAGCGCTAGTCTCAAGGCCGGCGCCGGCGCCAGCGGAGGAGTCAAGGCCACCCCCTAGGAGGTCGTTGTCATCGTCGAAACCAGCATCCTCAACTGTCGCAAATTGGTTGGCATCGTCGCCGAGAAGCGCCTTCTCACGCTCGAGGAAGTTGGTGGCCGAGGGGCTTCCAGAGCCCTCCTTGATCTCGGTCTGGGCTTTTGGGGGGTTTTAAATGTTAGCAGGCAGTGACAGCAAGGTAAGGGGATCTCCAAACAACGCCAAGCTTACCGCCGGAGTCGAACTCCTCCAGCGAGGGGAATCTGTCAGCCATGATGTGGGTGGTGTGATTTGACTTTTGGTAGATCGGCGCGAACGGGCAAGACTGGAGGCTGGAGAAGTGGACTGCAAAATGGAAATATTGGGTAGGAGGATCGAAGAAAGCTGCGAAACAGGCAAGGTGTTTGGTTGTTTGATGGAAGTGTCCAGTCTTTTGGTGTTGGTGTTGCACTGCGGGAGTCCGAGTTGCAGCCCCCCCAGCGCTCCTGATCGCGCCAGGTTCCAGGTTGCGACGGGACGCCACTCACAGCGGCCACTGGGGCACTTTGGCACTGTCCACAGCGACCCTCTTGGGCCTCTTTGGCCTCTTTGGCCAGGGGAAGCCGTACCTACCTAGCAGCTACCGGCAGGCAACTTGTCTGCCTGCCCTCGCATTGGACGGATGGAGGAAGCTCCAACGTCTGCTTCGTTCCGTCCCACCACCTCCCGTCGACAACTTCTTTCTTCCTTCTTCTTCTTTTTCTTCTTCTTCTTCCTTTCATCAACAACATTCAGCACTCACCTCGCTGTGGTTTCAGTTGTTTGTCACAGAGCATCCAGATCACGCTCATTTGCGCTTTGCACTGCAAACTCTTCCTGGTGACAGCATTGGTAATAGCAGGGAAACGACTCCGGTGTAGTTGGACCACAGAGCTTGACTAGGTGCTTAGTTCGTGCTGAGCACTTCTCTCTCGCCGTCATCTAGTGTGTTGTGTTGATAGTCCACGCTTCTGCCATTTGAGGTTGTTCCCAAGGGCTTTCGATCCATATTCTAGATCACCACTCGGCCGCGTCTGGAGTCCCTGCTACACGCAAACACCACGGATACTACCTTTTCGTACTGCTGTAGATGAGTTCTGAATAAACCCGACACCGCATATCTTGAACATCTGCCCCGTCCATCACACCAGCCAACCATCAACAACCACTTTTTCCAACACTTTCCAACCAATTTCGCCTAAAGCTTCACCATGGCGTATAACGAGGATGCTGTGCTCTCTAAGCTCTCTGCACTCACTGAGACTCACGAGAGCATTGCAACCACCGCTCAGTGGATTATGTTCCATCGGTAAGCTCCCGCTGCCCACGACCGACGACCGCATTCACCTTCTGTTTGATGTCTCGACCGCCGAACTGACTGTTGATGTATCTTAGGCGACATGCTGCCCAGACTGTCCATCTTTGGTTGACCAAGCTGAAGGACCTCCCCAGTCCCAAGAGGCTCAACATGATTTATCTTGCAAACGGTGCGTGCATTTTCCAGGCTCTCCCACATAGGCCGCATGTTATGTGCATCCCCCGGCGTTCGTTCTGGGTTTCTTTCTTCTCGTTTGGGACTGAATGCTGACCATTTCCGTCTTTCTCCATAGAGGTGACGCAGCAATCCAAAGCTCGCAACAAGGATGATTTCCTTCAGGCTTTCTCTCCCTTCATCGCGGATGCAACCGCGTTGTCTTATAAGGGCGCCTCGTCAGACATTCAGAACAAGCTTCGAAGGGTTGTCGATGTTTGGAGAGAACGCAAGATATTCCCCATGGAAGTCCAGGATGCTATAGACTCTCGACTAAGAGGTAAGCCGTGGCCTCAGCCCTTCCTCAGACAAGATACTGACTTGTTCAATCCAGAGCTTGACTCAGCCCGCTCCGGTGGAACAATGTTCGGTTCCACATCGTTATCGTCGCCAGCTGCAGCGGTGCCTCCAGAGTTGGCACCCTTGGTTACCTCACAGCAGGCAGTTACCAAGAGTGCCCAGGCGTTGAAGACAAGCCTTACTACCGCCAATTCGGACTACAGCAAGCTGATGGATCCGGCCCACGCTCCTCCTCAGGCGCCAGTGTATGCCGCGCGACTCAACGGGCTGCTTAAGAACCTTGCCAATGCTGAGGGAGCCGTGACGGAATGCATCAAGACCCGCGAGGAGCTTATCAGCGCCTTGGAGAAGATGTTGAGCTCCAACCGGCAGGCCTTGGAGGCCGAGCAATCACAGCTCAGGGATCTAGGCACCCGCAAGACGGCAGTTGAGGAGAAGAAGCAAGCAATTGAGCTCAGCATCATTGGCGGTTTGCCTCACAATGCGCAAGAGCCGGCTACCGGTGAGGAGCGCGCCCCATCTAGCTCGGATGGCCACGACATCGCCCGTCCTCAGGTCGAAGCACTCACGCCGCCCCACGTCCAAGATCACGACGATTTCTACGATCATCGCCCGTCTGAGCAACAACAGCCGCAGAATGGTCATAGTCACCCAACTGGATCCGCTCCTGGCATTGAGATGCTGTCCGCCCTCGCGTCTCAATATGAGTCTGTTCCGACTCGACAGGCCAAAAAGCGCAAGATCGACGAGACTGCTGACATTCCTGACGTAGGCATAGATGCCGATGTCGCCGAGATGATCCAGAAGGAAAGCACGATTTAGAACGAGGACGGGGAAGCCAAAACTTGACCGAAGTTTTTCTATCTTTGTATCAGTTTTAGTGCATATGGCCCAACACTCTGGAGTCGTTGACGTTATTGCTGGTCTAGGGGAACGATAATGGCTGTATGGCGAGAATCATCATTCATGTGGCATTTTGGCGCGGGCCTGAAACCTTCTCTGGAGCAAGTGTGTGGAGATACAGAAGGACAGGACTAAGGATTATTGGCATGCTTCATTCTTGACGGGCAAAGCGCCATTCGGTTAGCTGTAGAGATATCGTAATTAAAAGCATAGGCATTTTCACAAGCAATGGTCTTTTTCGTCCTTTTTCCTTACCATGATGACCTTTTCCGCAGAGCTCCAATACCCCCGAGGTACAAATATGTAAGTGGCATGAGTGGGATGGGCCAAGCTTGAGCACGGGCCACTTATGGAAGGTGCCGACATCGTTGAACGCATTCCGGAATTGACAGTGGATGCCGCCGGCATCATCGACGAGTGGCTTGCTCTTCGCTGCTGAATGACGAAATGTCCGACTGCAGGTAAAAGATGCGCGCTTTGCCCTGTTTGGGAGGGGAGAGGGACAATTGAACAAGGGAATCGAAGCTGCCCTCCCGCCGTCGTGCTCCCCAAAGCTTGAGCGGCGAATCAATCGCAGTTGCTGCAGCGCCAAACCGGCGATTGACCACTGAAGTTGAGATCCCGTCCGCCGGGACAAGCAAGGGTTTTTGCACCGACGGCCGAGCCGACCGAACTGCCTGGGTGTCATCCCGACTTCATTCCAACAACTCCCCCCCCCCCCCCCCCCCCCCCCCCGTCCGTCCCGTCCCTCGACCTCGGAACCTTTCCACCACTTCTTTCTCCACGTTTCCTTCAGTTCCTCAATCACACTCATTCCACATCACCAAACTCACCCATTCGCACGCAGTGCAGGGACTCAAGGGAACCGGGCATTGACAAGCGCAGAAACAGGCGCGCATGCGCGCTAGCGGTCTCGCATCAGGCAGTTAGTAATATAGCCCACTACACAGCACCGACATGATATGATAGAAACTCGACACCGAAACTCTACGATATAGCGAGCCTAGTACCTAGTCACCTACACACTCGACCTACCCAAGAGACATATACTTCAAACCATGGTTACGGGGGTAGCGGTGCGCCGCGCCGTGCTGCTCCCCCAATGCGGCGGTAGCGGCGCCGGGCTCGCGGCTTTGCTGCCGTTCCAACAATCGCCCACTATGACTTCGTCGATTCTATCCGCAAGATTCTGCCGTCCGTTCTCGTCAGTTCAGCGGTCCTCGACGACATCTTTCGCCATCGTTTCGGTTCCCTTCTCATCCTCCCATCCCGGATCACGACCATGCGTACAATCCCAACGTTGGACTTCCCCCTTCGGCCTTCTCCGCCAGCTATCGACCTCACAAACTCGCCTACGGGAGCAGTCGGCCAAGGAAGCTGCGGCAGAGACAGCAGAAGAAGCGGCAAAGGACGTTGAAAAGGTCAAGGAATATACATCCGAAGAACACCTCAAGGTACACGGTTTTACGAAAAGCGAGAGGGCGCATAAGGCTGCCCATATCAACATGAGCGCTCGTCTTTCCAAGGATGGCAAATCCCAATCAGGCACCAAGCCCGGCTTCGCCGAGGTCTGGCGTCTGATCAAGATTGCGCGCCCCGAGGTCAAGGCGATGAGTGTCGCATTCGTCCTGCTTCTCATCTCGTCCGCGGTGACCATGTCCATCCCCTTCTCGATCGGCAGGATTCTGGATCTTTCCACCCAGGGTCCCGCCGACGAGGTTCGGCTCTTCGGTCTTACCCTCTATCAGTTCTTCGGTGGCCTCGCTGGTCTTCTCACTCTTGGTGCGACGGCCAACTTTGGCAGAATCATCATTCTCCGTATCGTTGGCGAGCGCGTCGTGGCTCGGTTGCGCACGAATCTCTACCGCCGCACCTACGTCCAGGATGCCGAGTTCTTCGATGCCAACAGGGTCGGTGATCTGATCTCGCGACTGAACTCCGATACTGTTGTCGTGGGCAAGAGCATTACTCAGAACGTGTCTGATGGCCTTCGTTCCATGGTTAGCGGTGCGGCGGGTTTCGCGGCCATGTTCTGGCTCAGCCCCAAGCTGACATCCATCATCCTCATCATGGTTCCCCCTATCGGTCTTGGAGCGGTTCTTTATGGTCGCACGATTCGCAACTTGAGCAGGCAGATTCAGAAGAACGTCGGCTCACTGATGAAGATCGCCGAGGAACGGTTGGGTAACATCAAGACTAGCCAGGCCTTTGCCGCTGAAGTGCAAGAGGTTGGTCGCTACAACAAGCAGGTCAGAAAGATCTTCGCCCTAGGCCGGAAGGAAGCCATTGTCTCGGGTGTCTTTTTCAGCAGTACGTCGTATACAGGAAATCTGGCGATCTTGGCTCTCTTGATTGTCGGCGGAAACCTTGTGCGCTCAGGGGCCATGTCTCTCGGCGATTTGACCTCGTTTATGATGTATACCGTCTTTGCTGGTTCGAGTCTCTTCGGTGTTAGCGGCTTCTACTCGGAACTGATGAAGGGTGTTGGCGCAGCGAGTCGTTTGTTCGAGCTCGAGGATCGC